TCGTCCCAATAAACTTAAATACTGAAGAAATAATAAGACAATGATCAATATAAATAAAATCACAAGAAGTCACGGTATCCCAAGTCCTCGGTAGTATAGTGGTGAGTATCCCCGCCTGTCACGCGGGAGACCGGGGTTCGATTCCCCGCCGGGGAGGGTCTTTTATAATGGTATCTCCGTTGCTCAACCGTAGAGCGTTTGGTTACAAACTAAATGGTACAGCTCATAATACCCACAACAATGGAAGAGGTCAATTAACTTCTAAGTGGAGAATAAAAAAAGACAGTGTCGCTTCTGGAACAATACACAAATAACCTGCATATAAGAGTGAAACTGATGTCGACGTTTCGGTCTGACTTAGACCATTAACTAGTCACATGACCGAAACACCGTCATAAGTTTCAGTCGCCTATGTGCGGGTTATTTGTGTATCACACTGCTTGGTTTTCTTTTATTACTCTGGGTTATTTAGCGTCCTCGAAAGGGGTACCTTAAATGTTTTTTCTTTATTTTTCTCTCTCAAGTTTTCGTTTGTAACCTGAGGACGGCTCGTCTAATCAACTTAAATTTTCAACGTGGTCAAACTCTTGGAAAATATTCACAGAACGACTGCAATGTGCAAGATGCTTTCTGGTAAATTTTATATATTCCATTCGTGATTTTTGTTACACCTAAAGCCTCTTCTAATCCTGCTTCATACTTAAAAATCGGGTGTATTTTGCCGTGTAAGACATGTGCAAGTGACGAAACGTTTCGCTTGGACTGTGGGCTTAATCATTCGAATACAAGGATGAATTTACAATTTTGGAGTGAATAGATGAAGTGGAGAGGTAGTCTGAGGTAATCAAGTCTCACGGCGTTGGAAGATTACTGCTATGTCCAGTGTCTTGGTTTATTGCAAATGTATGAAGCCAAAGACGACTAGTATACCGGAATGTGAGATGTAGTAGCTGGGGATGACACCACAGGCAAGCTGGGCCCAGCAATGGAAGGTCATGCTAAACGGTTGTTAAGATAAGATAAGATTTCGTTCGGATTTTTAACCCCGGAGGGTTAGCCACCTGGAGTTACCTGGAGAGAGTTCCGGGGGTCAACGCCCCCGCGGCCCGGTCTGTGACCAGGCCTCCTGGTGGATCAGAGCCTGATCAACCAGGCTGTTGCTGCTGGCTGCACGCAAACCAACGTACGAGCCACAGCCCGGCTGATCAGGAACTGACTTTAGGTGCTTGTCCAGTGCCAGCTTGAAGACTGCCAGGGGTCTGTTGGTAATCCCCCTTATGTGTGCTGGGAGGCAGTCAGTGCGTCATCGAGGACTGTCTAACTTATTTCCATTGGGGTCCTTAATCTTGTCCCCCAGGATGCGACCCACACCAGTCGACTAACACCCAGGTACCTATTTGCTGCTAGGTGAACAGGACAACAGGTGTAAGGAAACGTGTCGAAATGTTTCCACCCGCCGGGAATCGAACCCGTGCCCTCCGTGTGTGAAGCGGGAGCTTTAGCGGGAGCAAGAGACATGGTGCACATTTGTCCTAATTAATTTGTCGGCACTGCATACCATTTATATGATACTGGTGTATCCTAAAAGGAAGAGATTATTTTGCTTTACAAATGGCATGTTTTTTTTCCCCGTGAGATCACATAAGTATGCTTCTCGACGGATTCAATTTTTATTGGGTGTTCCATCGTATGTAATGGATGACACCTTTCGGGTTCAGCCTTAAGTTTGAAAGCTGGAGTATATTAGTGGAAGATTCGAATTCTCTTTGGAATCTTTAGCTGCCAATTTGCTATTTTCGCTGAAGAAAATGAGACAGCGGTTTCCAGGCGATAACTTATGAAAGCTTCTTGTGATCAACTTCAAATCTTCAACGCTGATACTCCACTACAGTAGAAACTTATACAGACACTTTATTGAAACAGGAGCTGGGGTTGTGAAAAAATCCATGGCGGTTGAAGTTATTAAATAATTATAAGTAAATTCAGGCTAGCTAGAGGTACGTGGAATATACGTGAGAGCTTATACCATCCACCCTCTAGTGTAAGTAGTCCGTTAATATCACATTAGTACATTTAAACATCTCTAATATAAGCTACTGAGAGATGTCTTTACTTCCATACAATGCCTACAATTTAATAAGATAATAAGTATAATGTCTTATTAATGCATATTAAACAATATACAATTAAGAGATGATGAAGATTCAAGAGATTAACATAAGAGGGTCATATGGTTGTCTCCCCTTCGTTGATATATTAACTACAGTACAGAGATGTAATCTCTGCATACAAGAGTAACCTACATAATGCCACTGACAATCAGAAGAGCGCCAAAGGCCAAACATAGGCAGTTCAGAGGTCTAGGAAAGCCAGTTTGCCCACCTTGACTCAAAACAGCAAGTGCTGTGTCTCAACTTAGGATCGTTCTTGAGGCATACACATAATACTTATGTATTATGTCTATGCTGAGCTGTAGGATGAGTTACAAAGCATACACAACACAACATTCCAGGTGTGAAACCAAATCAGTTTATTATTCATCCTTTGTACCCAATAATATAAACAGTAGTCAAGGCCCATGATATATTATAGTATGTTGCTTGTAATTTTTATAGCCTTGTTAGAATATTAGTAGTCCACGTAGAACTCGCCTGAAGAATTATCTCTGGGCTTATGGATAATGAGATACCTTTCTCAGATGGCGCTGCGAACGAAACATGTTGTTTACCCCTCTAGGGTTGATTATCCGAATCATTTCTTTCCAACTTGTTCTGTTTACGATTTGAACTCTTCATCGTTATAGCGGACACCAATCAATCTAAGTATTCATAAGTATATAAGAAGGAACAATGCAACAGGCCTACTGGCCTATGTGAGGTCAAACACGTCACTTAAGGGAGGAGCACGGCATCCGACCTAGTAGCATAAGCTAGTTAGGTATTCGTAGGATCTTCAGGTGATGTCGATTCCAGTCTTGACTTAGTTTCGGGTCGAGCTGCAGAAAAATCTGTGGCATTATTAATCAACAAGATTAATTTTACTAAGCCTTGCTTTTTTTTTCTTTTTTGGTAGCGACGGATCTCTGGATTCCCATGCACGCATGCACTCGTACATGCAAGGATGCATGGGTACATACACTCGTGGGCCATGCATGTCTGTGACCTCCCATTTCCCTTGCCTTGTGTGACCCTTACGCGTTTAGTGCTTCTCCCTGAAAATAATCATAATACACATGTCGATGCTTTAGTCTGGACAGAACCCACCCACGGACGACCCACCTCTCACCACGACAGTACCCACCCAGGAAGCCTGGACGACCCACCTCTCACCACGACAGTACCCACCCACGAAGCCTGGACGACCCACCTCTCACCACGACAGTACCCACCCAGGGAGCCTGGACGACCCACCTCTCACGACAGTACCCATCCAGGGAGCCTGGACGACCCACCTCTCACCACGACAGTACCCACCCAGGGAGCCTGGACGACCCACCTCTCACCACGACAGTACTCCACCCAGGAGCCTGGACGACCCACCTCCATCACGACAGTACCCACCCAGGGAGCCTGGACGACCCACCTCTCACCACGACAGTACCCACCCAGGGAGCCTGGACGACCCACCTCTCACCACGACAGTACCCACCCAGGGAGCCTGGACGACCCACCTCTCACGACGACAGTATCCACCCAGGGAGCCTAGATGACCCCACCTCTCACCACGACAGTACCCACCCAGGGAGCCTAGATGACCCCACCTCTCACCACGACAGTACCCACCCAGGGAGCCTGGATGACCCACTTCTCACCACGATCAGCAAAATATTGCCCAACTTCTAGTTTTCGATGACTGATATTTGGTACAACACAATACATTACTGTCAGTAACATTCATTTAGTCATTAATTAAGCAGTAACCGTGGTAGATGCGTCGAGAGCAAATTGTTGGAAGGTGGGAAAGTGAGGAGCAAGAGAGATGAGTATTATAGTTAGCAGAAAGGTAGACATGAGAAGTGAGTTTAGATGACAGGTTGGGTGGAAGATGTCCCTGGCATTGAGAGAAGGAATAGCTCATGCAGTGCGAAGGAAGTATGCATAAGAATCTTGAGATATATGAAGATTTGTCCCATAGAAAGTCAGCCAGTTAGGATTTAATTAGTTATTGTAGGTTCAGGCTATGTTAAAAATCTTACATTACCTGAAAATTTAGAATGAACTGAAATTAGAAACTTAAAACAGATTAGATTGTCATTTAATAACCATAAATTGAAGTAAGATTTTAAAATAAATATTACATTCAAGCAATTTATAACGTTTCTTGTTATATTTAAGTTTAATTTCATTAATGATCACCTGGGACCTACGGAAAGGCTGGGAGTCTCTGTCTTTCATGCTGAGTCTTGTCCTACATGTCAATCTTAAGTCTGTCTATAATTAGCATATAGGTCATATGTCATAATTTGTAAGTACAGATTGTGAAAACGCGTTTGTTGATTGGTCTTAAAAATTTCAGTATTAAATTTAGGCTGTTGGACAGTGATTATTGAAGAATTAACAGTCAACATATTAGTATCTACTAATAGACCACATTAACATTTTAAGAATATAGAGTTGTAATATTTAAGAGAAATTCTGCAGCAGGTAATAGGTTGGTATAAAGGAACCACCCAGGGAGGTACTACCGTCCTGCCAAAGAACTGTGAAACTGAAACCTGTAATTGTTTTGCACAATGCTAAGAATCATACTGAATGCAAGTGTTAGTCTTATCTGGATTTAATACCTCATTTCCCCAGTTATGTATTTAATAGTATAGGCAGAACTATCTGAGGCGATATTTACAACAGTCGCTGGATTATATTTACAAGTCTGCGGGAGAGTATTCGTGGAGGATATATATCGATGGAAAAAATGATCTACTAGGTGTGACATATTCTTAAAGCACCCTGAGTAACTCTACAAGGCGTCAGCACAAAGTGTTACCCGTGTAGATGACTTACCGAAGTTGGCGATGTGGAAGAGGGTGTGGAGGATTGAGAGGAAGAAGACTGTCCAGCCGGCCATCTTGTGGAAGTGGACGTGCTGGTCACAAGGAAGAAGACGGCCCAGCGAGGAGTTTCTGAGTCTGGTCACTCCCCGACGTAGAATCAGCAGCAGCAGCAGCGCACAGTCCAGGTTGAGACACTGACCTGTAGACGGAGTATACACACACGTGTATATACTTTCTGACTATAAATAAAATGCTCGTTCTCTCGTAACCACTAAATAAAATGTACAATTGCGTTTTTTATAACGTAATACTTGTTGAGGGAAACATGTATTATGGGAAAGAAAATATATTGCGATTATCATAGTTATTTAGATATTTTTGAAATCATTTCACAACAAATCTATAAAAAATATATTAAAATGCATCACAAGTACATATGCAAATTTCATAAACAAATAGAAAAATTGAAATGTAGATATATAAAATTGTCAGAATACGAAGAGAACAGTTATCAAATAGAGAAAAACATTAAGAGTACAAGAAATTACAGCAAAAGGAATCACAGGTCTCCAATATAGAATTTCAGAAGATACACACAGGTATTACATACCAAGGTGTTGGGGATGTGGCAAGATCCAGGTTGGAGATTTTTACCAGTGATTTTCCTGTGATAGGTTTGGGGAGTTTCACTATTGATCTACCTGTGATATGGGGGTTACGTGTGAAATTCATCCAGTGAAAAACAAAAGCACTAAAGGTACGCAACTGTGTTAACATACGTCACCTATGAGTACAAGCAAATATCAGAAATAGTACATTGCTATAACGAAAGTAGATGTGGTAAAAATAGACTAGCTATTGGTTGGATTTCGGCTATTAATTAAAGTTTGAACTCTACAGTATTAAAGTTGGTTTTATAGCAGAATGTTTTGTTCTGCAGTTGATATAAACTTAACCTAACGAAACCCACCCAGCTCAATCCAAAATAACCTAACATACCCTTACCTAAGCCCGTGCATAACTATTCTATTGTCTACCAATAACTCAAAATACAATTTGAACGAGAAATATTTATTCCGAGGGGTACATAGGTTATGTATTTTGTAAAATGAAAACTAATGCCCGAGTCCGCCTAGTAGTGGTCGTAAACCTTAACTGTAGAGGTTTTCAAAAATAAGTTGGATCATTACTTCAATCAAGTGCCAGATCAACCTGGCTGTGATGACTGTGGGCTAGAACTCCGCTTTAAAAAAATTAAACTGGTCCCAGGTATAACTAAACCAGTTATAGGTAAATCGCAGGTAAAAACCCTCGACACTAGTTAAATGTAAGTCACAGGTGAAAAGCCTCGAAACCTGTCACAGGTATAACTCGCGAAACCGATCAAAGGCATGCCACTAAATGCGAAACTGAAGTGTGTTAAACGTTTCGCACTCTTACAGAATGGCTGGGATTTCCCTTGAATTATGAAGGTGCAAGTGTTTAGATAGTGTAGGGTGGGAGTGGGTGTGTGACCTGCCATGGGTGGGTAGTGCACTTGCTAGCATCGGAAGGTGGACGGACATCCTTTTGGTCTTGTACTTGATAATCATCAATACAGAAGTTATCTGACGATATGGCTATAATCATATCGTCAGATATGATTGATGATTATCAAGTACAGGACCAGATAATCATCTCGTCAGATAACCTCTGCATTGCACTATAATCAAACTACCGTTCAACCTTATAAAACTTGTTGATTACAATTTACTTGATTTGTAATGATTAATCTTGTAACTCGAATCCTGACTATTGTTTTTCCAAACATCCCGTCAATACCTTATACAACACCCCTTATACAACACTTAGTATCACGTAGTCTTAGTCTGCCCGAAATGCTGTACAAACTATGGGCTTTCAAACTGTCTTTGAAATAAAAATCACTCATTAATATTAAGTAGTATAATGGTTATTGTCCTTGGGGACGATAAAGTGTTTAACGCCTTTCCTTGTTGAGGAGAGATGTAGCCACAGAAATGAGCAGGATATGCGGAGATATTAAAATAAATGCATGGAAGAAAGTCGAGTTGTAAACACAAAAATGCGCGAGAAGCATACTGTAAATATTTAGATTAATTGTAGTGATGTAGAAACGTGAAGGTAAACAAACTCGAAATACATAGAGGGGAAAGTTGTTACCTAGATGACATCCAAGCATACAGAGTTACACAATAAACATACTTGCGATAGCCGAATTTACCACATTAAAACTTTTACTGTCGTGGCCCAGTAAATCTCAGCGCAGAGTAAATATAGAGCATTAATCATCTGACCATGTTTTTATTTCTTATATCACCTGACTGAAACCACAACAAATAATTAAAATAAGCAAATGGCGTAATAACGGAATATAGCCACGAAGTCAGTATTCATGTATATATAAGACTTATTTACGAATTTCGTGTGTGGGCAATGAGCAAGTGTTTCCCGTGATTAACCTTGTTTAGGATGCATCAAATGTAATTAACCTGGTATGGTTAAAAAAAAGATTTAGGACACTGGCAGCTGACTCCACTACCTGGCTGACTGCCTTGATAAAAATTTGGAAAATTTCAAATTCTTTTTAATTTTTACGCAGTGATGAGTAATCCAGACGGGTTTAGTGTTTTTAATAATAAGGCTAATAATAATAATGTTAATAATATTCCCTTTGGTTCTCTGGGCTCCTAGTGATGCAAGATCTATCGTAGCCTATCATCCTATCGTAGTATAAATTCTCGTTGTTCCTGCTCGTCAGGGCGCTGACGACTACACAAACATTTAACGTTTTAGCTGTCTTCAGGGAGATTACATTTACAGTGTTCAGTAGTGCTGGCCATCATGGCCCTATCGTGACCCTATCATCGTCGTGACCCCTGTCATCGTCCGGAATAAATATAAGCTATGAGAAGCATTCATCTTGGCAAGACATTATTTTAAAGCTCTCACGTTAAGAACTCACATCGCAGGAGCTCCCTTTATAAAAGGAGTGGAGAAGGGGGCTGGAAAGGGAGGTCTTGATGCTGGTGAAGGGCCCTTGATCCAAATAACTGGAGTTATCCTCCTCGGATCAAAACCCGATGAGATGGGTATGACCCATCCCGGCTTAGCGCATCTTAATGGCTGTATCATAGAATATGAGTCAGCAGTGTCAAGCTACGTGTCGTCACTGGTGTCAGGTGGGAAGGTGACAGTGGGTGACGTTATCTTATGCGAGACATGAGGTCTTGGGCCACGCTTACCATGATTGGCACCTTTGAGGAGTCAGCTCATGGATTATGTTCGGCGTGTTGTTCTTTTATTACGAGGTGTTCAAGTGACCGAGTCTGTCGGTTACCTGAGTATTGCACAAGGCCGTCGGTCGTGGTTGTCTGTGGTTGGTGGCTGTGTCTGTCTGTGGTTGGTGGCTGTGTCTGTCTGTGGTTGGTGGCTGTGTCTGTCTGTGGTTGGTGGCTGTGTCTGTCTGTGGTTGGTGGCTGTGTCTGTGTGGTTGGTGCCTGTGTCCGCCTGTGGTTGGTGGCTGTGTCTGTCTTTGGTTGGCGGATATCTGAAACAAGTGACTGTCTAACTGACGCTGATGGAGATGTCTGTGGCAGGTGAACGTCTGTGGCAACCAACCGCCCGTCACTGAAGTATCATTGCAAAACTAACAAATTGCAATATTGGTTTCCAATGTGGTGCGTGAAGGCGTCCTTGAGCAAGTATTTTTCACACATTCGTCCCATGGGAAAAAACGTCGACTGACTCTTAGCACCCTCCCTTACTCCACTTTTTCCCTGTCTTCGAGCCTGGACATTGATTATTGTGAATTATTATGCGAGTAAATTACCTGTACGAGGTTTACAGGGTATTACCCGAATTATTTCCTGCGAGTAATTTGGATAAGTGGTACTTAAGTCATAGTAGGTCCCCGAACTGTAACTCCCTCGATGCTCACTTTTTCACCACTCACAAAAAGTTAGACCTGGCATTGAATTAATAATTACAATATTAAAACCAGCTACTCTGGTAAATTAAAGTTGTGGACTGTATATGATTAAGCTTGCTGGTTACTCAAAAAAATTCGTATTCTCACTTAATTACTGTAGATGGATCACACCACAACACCTGCCTAACACCTAGATCCTACACTGGCCAGCTAGAAATCTAAATGCAAGGACTAATGGCGCACTTCCCTGTAAGTGATGTTCGTATCCCTTATCTTCCGCCATCCACACGTAATTCTTGAGGTCCCGCAAATTTCCTGTCCCATTTATTCAGCAGGGGACATTAATACTGGTTCCTAATTACAAATTCAGGCTGAAAAACCCCAGTTTGGTTAGAAAGACGCCGGATTATTAGCTGAATTTTCTGTGACAACCAGTGTTCACAAATTACAAATGGCATCTTCTATTTTTTCTGTCCTTGTTACCGAATTGTAAGAGTTTTCCAATTTCTAAATTACGGATTGAGGCCGATGTACAACAAATGACCTTCGAGAACGCCTGATTACATTGCACAATTCAGATCAGTGTTCACACATTAAATTCATTATGGCATCTCCCTCCTCCCTCAAAATTTCTCAAAAGGTCCAAATAGCATCACATTTTAATGCATAATTATATTATTCATTTATATGTTCTGCATTTAGGAAATTATGTAAAAAAAATTCCACATTATATAAAGCTAAACAAAAAGAGAAAAATAAAGTATATGAAGTGTTAAGGAATAAGTGAATTACAAAGCACCCTTAGACGAAAACTGGCGAGATTAAGGATAAATTTAATATGTAGATTGTAGAGAAATATCGAAATGTGCTGCAAAACTACATTACTTTTGATCTAGTAATCGTCTCAAACCAAGCTAAGAAATCTATGTACCGAGAAGTTTGGAAGGAAACCCTTCTCTCGCTAAGATGTTTGTTTTTTGCATCCCTATAGCCGCTTTAACTGATAAAAAAAAATCATAGGACCGAAAACAAGTGTACTTCAGTAGGCCTACTGCTCCATACTAGACAAGTCAACTCATTCCTAATCATTTCCACTCGTGTATCTGTCCAACCTACCTTAAAGCTTTTACCAAAAAAAAAAAAAAAAAAAAAAAAAAAAAAAAAAAAAAAAAAAAAAAAAAAAAAAAAAAAAAAAAACTGTGGCCTTCTCGTATAATTATAAGGCTGTTTACTGAGAGTGTACTGAATGCAAATGATATAGATAAGGACCACTATGTCAGGACCAACACTGGTCACCAAAGAGCAGGTTGGTAAGGCGAATTGCAAGTCGATGGATTGGTGAATCCTCCTATTTACCCGACCTTCAAACACCAAACCCACTGCCCCTGACCCATTCGAGACTACTCCCGGAAGGCCAGGTTCCTCTTATTCTCTGGCAGCTGACCAGAGGATCGGAGAATAAAGACTAATACATGAGGAAATAGTGTTATGTAGAGGAAGGTGAGAGGTATGGAGTTTCATTATATAGGTGAGTGGGAAACAGATATCTTTCAAGCAGGCATTACACAAGCTTCAGCCCCTTTAACTAGTACTTACCACAAGCCCTGGCGCCCATCTCCAGCAGGTTTGTATTCCTGTACTGATAGGCCCTCGTCAGGAAGACCCCGGCGTTGACCCCGACGAAGAGGAAGGTGAAGGTGAGAGCTGGAGCATTGTTCCTGGCCCAGATGAGCCGCCGGCGAATGCTGCTGCCCACACTTACTTTTTCCTTCTCCTGCCGCTCCTCGTCCAGCACCACATCCAGGAAACGTATCCTGCCAGAGACAAAAGTGACTATTGTAAAAACAACTCTTACACTACTGAAAATAATGTGTGCTTAGTATATGTCACATGCCCCATCTAAATACTGTTCTTAGTTTAAACTGATTTACATCCTGAAGGCAATTTTCTCCTGTAATATTCTCTACTAGAGACTATTAAATTTAGTATCTGAGGAACAGACAATTGCATTCTAACATTAAACGTTTCCACACAGCAACAGGGCTAGTTAAAACTATAAACTGTTATGGAGTTAAAAGTCCTTACTGTTAGAGATCAAACCTATCAAAACGGGTATTGGAATCAAGAGTAAAATTCAGTCTTCATTGCTTATTATTGTCTAAGTCGTAAATATAGATTAAAATTAGAGTTAAGACGAACATCGGCCGTGTCCCACTGCCACAGGGTGACCATAAAAAGAAACACTTTCACCATCATTCACACAATCACTGTCTTTGAAAAGGCGCCCAGATACGACAGTTTAGATGTCACTCTAAACAGCCAATATCCCAAACCCCTCCTTTAAAGTGCAGACATTGTACTTCCCACCTCCCTAATTCCCTTCACTAAATGTTACCCTGCCCACACTCCAACAGTTCGTCAGATTCCAAGAACTATTAGTCTCTATTCACTCCTAACACGCTCACACATGACTGCTGCATGTCCAAGCCTCTTGCACACAAACCATTATGTATGTCGTGTCGAACAGGTACAAACTTGCGATTTTGGCTTAAATAGCAATGCTCATCTTGCCGAATAAGGCAAGCGAAAATTTGTGCATGTAATAATTTCGCAAAAAGTCATTCTGAACTTAACGAAAAAAATATATTTAATTGTGTTTGTTTATTATTAAATTATTGTAAACTTATCTAAAATAAATTTAGTTGGATTAGGATAAATTAAATTGCGCTTCTTATAATAAGGTTAGGTAAGTTTCCTAGGGTACTTTCGGTACAAAATTAATTTTTACATTAACTTATATGAAAACATACATCTTTAAACGCACAAGAGAAAATTTTTAGAAAGGAGTTAATTTTAAACGAGTTCTTGCTAAGTGACCAATTTTACCTATTCGGCACGATATATATATATATATATATATATATATATATATATATATATATATATATATATATATATATATATATATATATATATATATATATGCGCGCGCGCACACAGAATGTTAAATGAGCCCTCCATCGTAATTATTAATGACTAATTTTAACCTGTTTTTACATCACGTTGTCATTGTTTATTATATGATCATTGCCTATGAATATAAGAGAGAGAGAACGCTAATTAGCTGCTAGCTTTTAATGTCAGGCAAGATGTCGACAACACAAATAAATCTATAAAATATCACTTACCAACCATCTTGATTACATTAACATCTAAAAGATGTCAAGGCAACATTGAAATCGACGTAAATAATACCCTTACGTAAATTCCAGGTGTCCGAAATAATGTGACACGTGAGAGTCTGTAAAAAATCCTCGACCTGTCCGCCTTGATAGCCGAGTTTAATATACCTTCCGTCACCTGGAGGTCTAATTACCAAGGTAATACTCGTACCCCTTCCCTCCCCACAGGCAGTTCTTTCCTCAAGAGCACCTCCCCAGCACGAGGAAGTGCTGCTGCTCCTACCCTGTGCCTGGTGACCTCTAGACCTCGGAAAGGCTATTGAAATGCATCAGCGATACTTAGGAACCCAGGAAGCATGGTGACGTAGGTCACCTGGGTGGCTGGTTTGTTTAATGGAGAGATTCTTTAAGTTCCCTCCCCCCCTATCTCTCTCTCTTTTTCCTTAAGATCGTTTCTCTTCCTCTTGCCTTGACCCTTCGTCTCTCTCTCTCTCTCTCTCTCTCTCCTTCACAAACATTTTTTCCCTCGTGCACCCTCTTCATCTCTCACTCTTGTCACCCTCTTCCTTTTTTCTTTTAGTCTTCTCCATCTCTCTCGCCCTTCCCCTTTTTCACTGGTCAAGGCAAAAACACATGACTATTGTCACATTCCTCTTTCCATTACACACACACACCACACACACACACACACACACACACACACACACACACACACACACACCACACACACACACACACACACACACACACACACACACACAAATTAGCGAGACAGGTGGATAATGGAATTCAACCCTAGCAAATGCAAGTTTATGAAAACTGAGAAAGATGACAGAAGACAAACTAAATTACAGAGTCGGGGGGACAGAGGTATAAACGGCACTCATGAAGAAAAGAGCGGAGGGTGCACACAATACTTAGCATATCAGTCCAGAGTCGCACATCAACCACGCATAGTGGACGGAGACTCGATACACAGCTTTATGAACAGGTATGATGAAGCCTATGAGGCTACCAGGGGACCAACGCGGTCACAGCTAGCTAAGAAGAAGGTCCAGGAGCTGAGGATCGACCCGCAATCACAAATAGGTAACTATACACGCATGCGAGTACATACGAGTAGCATCTGACCTTTCAAGGTGTTAGAGGTCAGACTGGCTGCCTCCTCAGGCTCAGTCAGTATTGATCAGTTAATTAACATTCGATCTCAAGATCGAATGTTAATTAACTGAAGGGTAAACCAAGGGCAAACCTCTTCATTATCTTTGCTTCATTTAATGTCTAAATTATGTGCTTCAACACTAATCATCTGTATGCCACCTAGATATCCCTAGACGCCTGCAAACACAACCAGGTAAACTAACACAGACTCGGGGGACAACGCTAGTTTTGTCACATCATTAAACTGTTTTAACTGAAGCAGCTTCCTCTAGTATAAGTAACAAGTATAGCCATGTAGAATCTATTTCTCACAACATTTCATTGTCAGAGGAATAAGGAAGGCGAGTAAGGGAGATGGAGAGTGAGGGAGGGGGGTGAGTGAGATGAAAATGGAAATGGCGAGGGAGGCAACAAAGGAAGGTGCAAGAGGGCGTGGAAAAGACATGCAGTGGTAAGTGAGATGTAGGTTAGTATACGCGGGGTTACGATAAGAAACTGAAAGCTAGAAAATGATACAAGACAGAGCTAAAATGTGGCCGAACTTGGCGTGAGGCTGCGTAAGAAGATGACTTGAGTATAATTTAAGAAGCAAGATGACTTATGGATAGCACTTATGGATAATGACAGAGAAGTATATGAGGAACAAAACATATAGGGATGGCTTTATAGCAGACATGTTGACAGTTTAGCAGCAACTAGAACACATATATCTACACAAATAATGAGAGGAGGAACAAGATTCCCATGCTTTCCTATATTCACTTTGTTTCTTTCCAGTCATAATTACCGTCTTCTTCATCACTCAGGAAACAGTTATGTCATATTTTACCCGGTATATTCCAAAGACTTATTCCACTCTCATCCTTTTTCTCTTTAAACAAAAGAATTGCTTATGCATTCTTTCTGGCAATCCTTAGGTACCTTCCCTTCTTTCATATACATATTGATCAAATGCACTACTATTCTCACCTGCTCTCAGCATCTCAGCCTTTGTGTGACGAATGGTTTTGAAAACCGACAAGTTGAAGAATTGAGACACTTATGCAACACATGGGAATCTTTATTGAAGAAACGTTTCGCCACACAGTGGCTTCATCAGTCCAATACAAAGTAGAAGTGGATAAGGAGAGTAGAAGTTTGAGGTAATCAGTCCCTCAACCTGGAATCAATGTGTTCAGTCCATCAATTCCATATTGATTCCAGGTTGAGGGACTGATTACCTCAAACTTCTACTCTCCTTATCCACTTCTACTTTGTATTGGACTGATGAAGCCACTGTGTGGCGAAACGTTTCTTCAATAAAGATTCCCATGTGTTGCATAAGTGTCTCAATTCTTCATCTCAGCCTTTACATTAACCTGCCTGTTGCTTCATCCATCTCCACACAACCTGTTCTGTGTGCATTACGAATGACGTCACCTGTCATTCTCTCAGTGATCTGTCGTGATACTCTGCGACAACCAAAATTTCGAAATAGCCAAACCAAAGAAATTACTAATATATATTATATAATCCTTTGATTTTTGTTATAAACAGTATAACAAAAGCAAGTGTTAAATGTGTCGATGTAATATCAAGTATCGATGTTTATAATGTTTTACGAAGCAATCATTGCACATTTTACACCCTGCTGAACAAGGGAAACTGGTCCTGCTCTTCTAAAAACCAACAAGTCAACTGGACTTCGATTGTGTGAAAAATTGCTTGAATCAGTAATTGTGAACGCAGCTACAGCCTTAATAGCTGTAATTTGGTTAATGGACTTCGAGATTTATTCAGGAGGTGGGAGACAGGTTGCAACAAACAGGTGATAGGAACCACAGGGTATGAACCAGGTGACAAGCAACAGGTGGTGAGAACCAGGAGGCAGCTAACAGCAGCAAGGAATCAGTGTTTGGAATCAGGTGCGAGGAATCAATAGTGGGAATCAGGTGGAAAGGATAAATAGAAAAAATAAAAAAACAAGTTGCGGCTGTACTCAGGTGACAGATCGTAAGTGTCCTTGAACTGGTCAGAACCTGTGTGTGTCGTGAAACCGGTTTGAAGAAAAAACAGTGTCGTTGTGGGCATGTTAATGCTGTTTATGAAGTTTTTTATTGCGTCTTTTAGTGTGTTAAGGTTGCTTTTTGGTTGTTAGTGGTAGTGTTTTATATTTGTGTTGGTGAAGGTTTTGTGTGGTTGTGGTGACGCAGATTTTGCTTTTATGTTCTTGCGATGAATGGTTTGAAAAACCGACAAGTTGAAGATTGAGACACTTATGCAGCATATGGAAATCTTTATTCAGGAAACGTTTCGCCACACAGTGGCTTCATCAGTCCAATACAAAGAGGAAGGCGTAAGGAGAGGAGGAGAATGAGGTAATCAGTCCCTCAACCTGGAGTCGATGTGTTCAGTCCATCAATCTTGCAGAATGTACAGCATAGGGCCGTAGACGTGGCTTATATACTGTAGTGAGGTGACGTGAAGCAGAT